AATAATAATATTTGTAATAATATTTTGACGAGCGAATTAATGGTAATTTTTTTTAATTATTAATAAGTTCATAATAAATATTGGTAAATGTTCTTGTAAAGAATAACAGTACTAATAATAATGAATTAATAATCATCATTGTAAAGTATAATGAGGATTTAATAATGAGATTAATTACTAGTGGCATTAATTTATTAACGACATTTATAGTAATAATAATAATAATAATAATAATAATAATAATAATAATAATAATAATAATAATAATAACAATAATAATAATAGTACGCTTAACATCATCATGAAACTAATAAACGATTTCAAATGGAAAATTTAGAAATTACCAGAAAAAACATAACGGAGATAATCTTCTTGGTTACCTGAGGTGAGATTTCACCAGGTAAATACACCTGTTGAGCACAAGAGGCGGCGGTAAAGGTCACAGTCTAGTGGTTGAAGATCCTGGTCGAGCGAGGTCAGGTCACCCACCTCCTGGAGATGACCCACTTCCCGCACCTCTGCACAGTGATTACAAGTCAGGTGTACTCTAGGTCATTAGGGTGAGGTTATTAAGAGGATGATGGTGTTACAGGTGAGGGTTTAATTATGCATGTTATTTGATAATAAACAAAAAAGAAATAATTATTGAATCGACGTCGTGGGTTGTACGTGTCAGTTCTGTTTCCATGCAGTTAAAAAGACGTCATTTTTGAGTGAAGTTTTCCTCTGTGATGTAAGGAGGAAACCTGCCTGGCTTTCGTTGTCTGGTTCCACCATTTCTTGTGGATTTTCCTTATCAGGTGGAAGTTTAGCCTCTATTGGGGAGCCAGGGGTGAGGTTCTGGGGTAGGGGGGTGGCCAGGGGTGAGGGCCTACACCTGGTGGTGATGGTCAGGGGTGAGGGCCTACGCCTGGTGGTGATGGTCAGGGGTGAGGGCCTACACCTGGTGGTGATGGTCAGGGGTGAGGGCCTACACCTGGAGGAGTAGGGCAGGTACGACGCCTCCACGACCCTGGGTGGTCCTGCCTCACACACCTGATCACCAACCGTGGCACGTAGTGAGTCTTAAGGGATGCTCTCTCTCTCTCTCTCATCCTATATCTGGTATTTTTTATAGTCATCAAACATCATGTGTTCTTTGAAAGTCAGCTGTGTTGGATGAGAGTCAGGTGTATTGGATGAGAGAGAGAGAGAGAGAGAGAGAGAGAGAGATAATATTATTGTACTGTATATGTTTAAAAAAATCTTTATTATTCTACTAAACATTTGTTCTTGTAATTGTTAATGATGTTTGTTATCATTTCAGGTGAGTGGCCAGTTGGAGTTACCACGGAGCAGTATATATAGTAAGTGTTAACATTATAAAATTTATTTTTATTTTTTTATAAAATCTTACTCGATGTTATGGACAGCTCTTTTGTGGTTTGTATTGTTGTTGTTGTTGTTGTTGTTTTTTGAGTTACGAGCGTCGGGTTTTTGCGGT